AGTAGTAGAACTACCTTAAATCTGCCGTCTTTATATCAATCTTTTTTTTATTCCCTTTCTTTTTGCTGCCATTAAAAGATTAATTTAAAAAAACCATTTAGTTGCAAACTTATTCATCGTTTGTGCCATTGAAAACTGAAAACATTGTCTCCCCATCAACGAATTGCCCATCGCATACTTTGCACTGACTGGTCTAGCTTTATTGCTCTGGGGCCCTGGGGAACATTGTGGGCAGAGACAGAGACAGAGACAGAGACAGAGACAGAGACAGAGACCATGTGCTCGTTCAGTTGGGTCGGTTTTGTTTACAGTCATTTTAGTAGCTCTCCTCGTCTTCTTCTGCTGGATCAGTCTTCTTACCATTTAAAGGAAAATGTCTGAAACTGAACAGCTGTCTGACACTTATGATATGTACGATGAGTTTGATTGTGAAGAAGACGAAAATAAGGAAGTGCAAGTGAAAGAAGAAGATGATTCAGAGACTGATTACGATGTTGTGGAAAGTGTTGAGCAATCAGCAGGCAATGGTAAGTAGATGATTAATTTTTTAACTTTCACTTTAGTCATTTTACTTTTATTCAGAATCCCAGTCGTCTGAAACAGAGGTGAAAACTGAAGAACAGAATGAACTTGCAATTGATATGTTCGATGATGAGTATCATGCGATTATGGAACAGGAATTTTCTGCTGAAACAAATGCCAATGAAACAAACAAAGCAGAAAGTATCAACGATGAACACGAGACGGATTCGGATGCCACTGAAATTGATGAGGATGATCATTCAGCAGTCAGTGGTATGTGGTTTGTTTACATTCATTTTATGTTTTGACTGACTTTTTTCTTTCTTTTTAGAATCTCGGCAAAACACTGAACCAGTGGTCACCCGTAGCTCGAACGGTGCATCAGATGAACGACAGCTGAATGGTCGTCAAAGAAGAACTAAAATCCACAGGTGTCAGCAGTGCGACAAAAGCTTTGATCGTCCATCTCATCTCAAGACGCACCAGCTCACAGTGCACAGTGGCATTCGAGAGCACCAGTGCCCAACATGCTTCAAATCATTTGGGCAAAAAGGTAATCTCGTAAAGCACCAGTTTGTTCACAATGACACCCGAGCTTACAAGTGCACTATATGCTCCAAATCATTTAAAAGACCTGATATCCTCAAAACACACCAACTGGTACACACTGACATACGGGCTCACAAGTGCACAATGTGCTCGTACTCATGCAAATTGCCTGGCAGTCTTATCAGACACCAGCTGGTGCACAGTGGCACTCGGGAGCACCAGTGCCCGAAATGCTCCAAATCATTTGGAGATAAAAGTATTCTTAAGACACACCAGCTTGTTCACACTGGCATTAAAGCGCACCAGTGCCCAACATGCTTCAAATCGTTTGGACAGAAATCTAATCTTAAGACACATCAGCTGATTCATACTGGAGTTCAAGCGCACAAGTGTCCGATTTGCTCTAAAACATTCACACTAAAGTCTAACCTCACTGCACACCAAGTAGTTCACAGCGACTCTCGACCATTTCAGTGCTCCACTTGTGAGCGAACATTTAACTGGAAAAAACAACTTAAAAGGCATCGTCAAAAAGTGCATCGTCGGTAAAACTTCCACTGCCGTCTTTATTCAGCAGTGTTCCTTTTCCATTTCCTTCCTTTTGCTGTCATTTAAAGGGTAATTAAAAATAAAAAACTTGAACAAATCTGTTTACAAACAGATTCATCGTTTGTGCCATTTAAAACGGAGAACACTGTGTGTCTCCTCATCAGCGAATTGCCCATCGCATACTTTGCACTGACCGGTGTTGGCCCTGGGGAGAACTGTGGGCAGAGACAGAGACAGAGACAGAGACCATGTGCTCGCTCAGTTGGGTCAGTTTTGTTTACAGTCATTTTAGTAGCTCTCCTCATCTTATTCAGCTGGATCAGTCTTTTTACCATTTAAAGGAAAATGTCTGAAACTGAGCAGTTGTTTGAAGTTGATATGTACGATGCTGAGTTTGATGCGATTATGGAACAGGATTTATCTGCTGAAGCAAATGCCAATGAAACAAACAAAGCAGAAAGTGTCAACGATGAACAAGAGACGGATTCGGATGCCAATGAAACTGATGAGGATGATCATTCAGAAGTCAGTGGTATGTGGTTTGTTGGCATTCATTTTATATTTTGACTGACACTTTTCATTCTGCAGAATCTCAGCAGAACACCGAACCAGTGGTCACCCGTAGCTCGAACGGTGCATCAGGTGAACAACAGCTGAATGGTAGTCAAAGAAAAGCTAAAAGCCACAAGTGTCAGCAGTGCGACAAAAGCTTTTCATGTGCATCTAATCTCAAGACGCACCAGCTCACAGTGCACACTGCCATTCGAGTTTACCAGTGCCCAACATGCTCCAAATTATTTGGGGAGAAGGGTAATCTCAACAGACACCAGCGGATTCATACTGGAGTTCAAGCTCACAAATGTACGATTTGCTCCAAATCATTTGGGGAGAAGGGTAATCTCAACAGACACCAGCTGATTCATACTGGAGTTCAAGCTCACAAATGTACGATTTGCTCCAAATCATTTGGGGAGAAGGGTAATCTCAACAGACACCAGCTGATTCATACTGGAGTTCAAGCTCACAAATGTACGATTTGCTCCAAATCATTTGGGCGGAAAAGTACTTTAAAGCTACATCAGCTAGTTCACACGGGCATCCAAGCCTACAAGTGCTCAATTTGCACTAAATCATTTGCACAAAAAGGTGCTCTTAATCGACACCAATTAGTTCACACTGGCATCCAAGCCTACAAGTGCTCAATTTGCACTAGATCATTTGCACGAAAAGGTGCTCTCAATCGACACCAATCAGTTCACAGCGACTCTAAACCATTTCAGTGCTCCATCTGTCAACAAACGTTCAAATCGAAAGTTGGTTTCAAAGGACATCTTCAAACTCAGCATCTGCAGTAAGGGTACCTGATAAATCTCTGCATAACCATCTTTTTGTTGTCCTCCAACGGTATTTTAAAAACATAAAAATAAAAAACTTGGTCACTACCACTTGAACTTTTTTTGAAGTTGGTGAAAAGAAAGGTTGAGTGACAAAGTTTAAGAGTGGTCACAGCAAAAATTACGTGGATTTCCAAAACGGCGTGGCCATTGAAAAGTGAGGGAAAGCATGTCTGTGTCTTCTCTGCAAAGCAGTCCTCTTGAGAGAATCACACAGGCGCACCTGAGCATACGAGCACCAAACTGGTTTTGCTCTGGGGCCTGTGAGAGCACTGTGGGCAGAGCAGAGACAGAGACAGAATATTGTAGTCAGTAGTGCTTGTTTTGTTTTCACTTGCTTTCAGTGGCTCTTCTCATCACTTCATCAGTTGAAAGTTCATCCACGGAAAATGACCAACCTTGAGCAGCCGTTGGAAATGGACCGAATGTACGACGATGAGTGGAATTTTGNTTTGCTCTGGAGCCTGTGAGAGCACTGTGGGCAGAGCAGAGACAGAGACAGAATATTGTAGTCAGTAGTGCTTGTTTTGTTTTCACTTGCTTTCAGTGGCTCTTCTCATCACTTCATCAGTTGAAAGTTCATCCACGGAAAATGACCAACCTTGAGCAGCCGTTGGAAATGGACCGAATGTACGACGATGAGTGGAATTTTGTACAGGAAGAAGGAGGTGAAAATGAAGAGGTGGTGGTGAAAGAGGAGGAGGAGGAAGAAACGTCCGAGATTTGGTACGATGCTTTGGAAACTCTGGATGATCAGTCAGCAGGCAATGGTGAGAGGATGATTAATTTTTCACCCTTAATTAATTTTTATTTTTATTCAGAATTTCCGTCAACTGAAACAGCAGTGAAAACTGAAGAGCAGAATGAATCTGCAATTGATATGTTTGATGTTGAGTTTTATGCGATTATGGAACAGGAATTTTCTGCTAAAACAAATGCCAATGAAGCAAGTGAAACAGTGAGTGCCAGTGAAGAACTTGACACTGATTCGGATGCCACTGAAATTGATGAGAATGATCATTCAACAGTCAGTGGTTAGTGGTTTGTTGGCATTCATTTTATGTTTTGACTAACACTTTTCTTTTTGCAGAGTCTCAGCAGAACACCGAACCAGTGGTCACCCGTAGCTTGAACGGTGCATCAGGTGAACGACAGCTGAATGGTCGTCAACAAAGAGCCAAAATCCACAGGTGTCAGCAGTGCGACAAAAGCTTTGATCGTCCATCTCATCTCAAGACGCACCAGCTCACAGTGCACAGTGGCATTCGAGAGCACCAGTGCCCAACATGCTCCAAATCATTTGGGCGAAAGGGTAATCTCGTAAAGCACCAGCTTGTTCACGCTAGCACTCGAGCTTACAAGTGCACTTTATGCTCCAAATCATTTAAAAGGCCTGATATCCTCAAAACACACCAACTGGTACACACTGACATACGGGCTCACAAGTGCACAATGTGCTCTTACTCATGCAAATTGCGCAGAAATCTCATCCAACATCAATTTGTGCACAATGACATTCGGGAGCACCAGTGCCCAATCTGCTCCAAATCATTCGGGGATAAAAGTAGACTTAAGAGACACCAGCTGATTCACGCTAACATCCAAGCTTACAAATGCACAACATGTTTCAAATCGTTTGGGCAGAAATCTAATCTTATAACACACCAGCTGATTCACACTGGAGTTCAAGCCCACAAGTGTACAATTTGCTCTAAAACATTTGCACTAAAAGGTAATCTCACAAAACACCAATTAGTTCACAGCGACTCTCGACCATTTCAGTGCTCCACTTGTGAGCGAACATTTAACTGGAAATGTGATCTCAAAAATCACCTTAAAAAGGCGCGTCATAAGTAACTCTATTACTGCCGACTTTATTTAGCAGTCTCTCTTTTAATAACCTTTTCTTTTTGCTGTCATTGAAAGATTAAATAAAAATAAAAAACCTGCGCCAACAATTCAGTCACAAACTTTTTTTATTGTCTGCGCCATTGAAATCTGCGAACACTGTCTGTCTCCCCATCTGCGAGTTTCCCCATCGCATACTTTGCACTGACCGGTCTTGTTCAATTGCCTTGAGGCCTTGGAGAGCACTGTGGGCAGAGACAGAGACAGAGACTGTGTGCTCGCTTAGTAGTGTCGGTGTTTGTTTACAGTCACTTTCCTCGTCTTCTGCTACAGAATCAGTCTTCTTACCATTTAAAGGAAAATGTCTGAAACTGAGCAGTTGTCTAAAATTAATATGTACGACGAATTTGATTGTGTGAATGAAGAAAACGAAAATAAAAAAGTGCAAGTGAAAGAAGAAGATTCAGAAACTGATTACAATGCTGTGGAAAATGTTGAGCAATCAGCAGGAAATGGTAAGTAAATAATTAATTTTTTAACTTTCACTCTACTAATTTTACTTTTATTTAGAATCACAGTCATCTAAAACAGTGGTGAAAACTGAAGAACAAACTGAATCTGCAATTGATATGTACGATGCTGAGTTTTATGCGATTATGGAACGAGATTTTTCTGCTGAAACAAATGCCAATGAAGCAAGTGAAGCAGTGAGTTCCAGTGAAGAACTTGACACTGATTCGGATGCCACTGAAATTGATGAGAATGATCATTCAGCAGTCAGTGGTCAGTGGTTTGTTGGCATTCATTTTATATTTTGATTAACACTTTTCATTCTGCAGAGTCTCAGCAAAACACCGAACCAGTGGTCAACCGTAGCTCGAACGGTGCATCAGGTAAACAACAGCTGAATGGTCGTCGAAGACGAGCTAAAAACCACAAGTGTCAGCAGTGCGGCAAAAGCTTTGATCGTCCATCTAATCTCAATCGACACCAACTGGTGCACACTGGAACGCAAGCTTACAAGTGCCAAACATGCTCAAAATCTTTTAACAGGTTTGATACTCTCAAGACACACCAGCTTGTTCACACTGGCATTAAAGCGCACCAGTGCCCAACATGCTTCCAATCGTTTGGGAAAAAGGCTAATCTTAAGACACACCAGCTGGTTCATACTGGAGTTCAAGCGCACAAGTGTACGATTTGTTCTAAAACATTTGCACTAAAGTCTAACCTCACAAAGCACCAAGCAGTTCACAGCGACTCTCGATTTCAGTGCTCCGCTTGTGAGCGAATATTTAAATGGAAACGTCATTTCAAAAATCACCTTAAAAAGACGCTTCATAAGTAACACTTCTACTGCCGACTTTATTTAGCAGTTTCTCTTTTAATAACTTTTTCTTTTGCTGTCATTGAAAGATTAATTAAAAATAAAAACCATTTAGTTGCAAACTTATTCATCTTTTGTGCCATTGAAAACTGCCAACACTGTTTGTCTCCCCATCAGCGAATTGCCGCTAAAAAATACCCTCAATCAGCACCAAACAGTTCACGACGACTCTCGACCATATGAGTGCTTCCTTTGTGAGAAGGCGTTTAAGGGGAAACATAATCTCAAAAATCATGTTCGAAGAGTGCATCAGTAGTAGAACTACCTTAAATCTGCCGTCTTTATATCAATCTTTTTTTTCATTCCTTTTCTTTTTGCTGCCATTAAAAAATTAATTTAAAAAAACCATTTAGTTGCAAACATATTAATCGTTTGTGCCACTGAAAAAAACTGCAAACATTGTTTGTCTCCCCATCTGCGAATTGCCCCTAAGCATACTTTGCACTAACCGGGGTTGGCCCTAGGCCCTGGGGAGCACTGTGGGCAGAGACAGAGACAGAGACAGAGACCATGTGCTCGCTCAGTTGGGTCGGTTTTGTTTACAGTCATTTTAGTAGCTCTCCTCGTCTTCTTCTGCAAAATCAGTCTTCTTACCATTTAAAGGAAAATGTCTAAAACTGAGTTGTCTAAAATTAATATGTACGACGAGTTTGATTGTGTGAATGAAGAAGATGAAAATAAGAAAGTGCCAGTGAAAAAAGAAGATTCAAAGACTGATTACGATGCTGTGGAAAGTGTTGAGCAATCAGCAGACAATGGTAAGTAAATAATTAATTTTTTAACTTTCACTTTACTAATTTTAAATTTTATTTAGAATCACAGTCATCTGAAACAGTGGTGAAAACTGAAAAACAAACTGAATCTGCAATGGATATGTTTGATGCTGAGTTTTATGCGATTATAGAACGGGATTTTTCTGCTGAAACAAATGACTATGAAGTGTGACGTGACCGCTTGACGCGACGCTCACTCCGGCCACTTCTGGCACTAATCACGGGCACATTTCCTATCAGCAGTGGCACTTGCCTTGCCCGTGACACATTCACACTGATTCACTAACTTTTTATCACTGATTCACACTATGACACACCGACACAGACTTTTCTTTCCCCATATAAACGCTGCTCACTTCAGCACTTCTCATGTCTTAGCTTCACGCAGTCGCATCCTTACCACGTTGTGCTGCTCTTCAGCTCGTCCAGCAGTGATCTCACAAATCCTGTTGCTCTTCAACTTTCCCACCAATAAACGGCCTCAGAGCCCAGCAAACCTCTCTGTGTCGACCCGTTTCTCAATCAATCAGCCTTCCAACCCCTAAATCCTTTGAACCCATCCAACCCAAACCTACGTTTTCTTCCACGTTCAATTCAACTCCCGCCCGATCGAGTCTTAGCGACGGACAATCTTTCAGTCCATTGCCCAGTTTCTTCGTTCACAGCGAAACATCAAACAACAAAACAAGTGAAGCAGTGAGTTCCAGTGAAGAACTTGACACTGATTCGGATGCCACTGAAATTGATGAGAATGATCATTCAGCAGTCAGTGTTCAGTGATTTGTTTGCATTCATTTTATGTTTTGACTAACTTTTTCCTTTTAGAATCTCAACAAAACACCGAACCAGTGGTCACCCGTAGCTCGAACGGTGCATCAGGTGAACAACAGCTGAATGGTCGTCAAAAACGAGCTAAAAGTCACATGAAAATAAAACGTTCCACTAAACGGTCCACTACCACTTGGATTTTTTTGGGTGTTGGTGAAAAGGAAGGTTGTAATGACTAGAGTGAGAAAGAGTGGTCACAGCAAAAATTGCATGTTTTCAAAACGGCGTGGCCATTGAAGTTTGTGGGAGAATGTCTGTGTCTTCTTTTCAAAGCAGTCTTCTTGAGAGGACCACAGGAGGCGCACTTAAGCATACGAGCACCCAGCCGGTTTTGCTCTGGGGCCTGGAGAGCACTGTGGGCAGAGCAGAGAGA